GGCCTAGAAGTGGGAATTAGTCTCCCAGTCAGGAGCGATGACAGTTACTTGAAAATCAATTGAGTAATTTGCGGGTAATTTTATGAATATGGATTTTTTTTTTACCATGACAATGGGACGCAATGGCCCACTTGTTTCAAACGACATCAGGTGGATCTGTAACGTCCAGTGTGAAGCAGACAGCACATTTGTTATTGTTAATACACCTGCAGTAATAACCAGGATGGCCACTGTGTTCAAATTGTGAACCTTTGCAAGAACTGGTAACCGCTGGGCTATGTATACTTTTTAGTATTTTGTGTATCTCAAATTTCAATGATGTAATGTTATTTTTACACGCACAGCGCTCTGTGATGATTGTATTGTGAAGGGCGCTATATTAAATAACGTTTGATTGATTTAAATACTGTGGTTTTCTATACAGCCGAGCTTCTCCAGCTGTGAATGTGCAGGGTCTACACCAGCGGTGTGTGAGCCTGTACCAGTAAGATTGAGCAGGTGCTGCCGTCCATACAGGTGCTCACGCTTGTTGTGCAGCTCGTGCAAATCCTCACTCTCATCAGCCTAGTGAGACAACGCACAATTTGCCGTTTAATGTGAGAGCCTACTACTCATAAATGTTGTGCTGTGCCCAGCCAGGTGGAAGAGTAACTCTGTGAGACCAAGTTGGAATGCGTACCTCCACTTTTGAGAGCAGACATGAAATTCCATCATCCCGATTTGTGCCAGAAGGGTCTTCATCTACATTACGTACACGCAAATCAGATGTTAGATGTTTTTTATGGGCAACAACTTGAGTCTGAACGAGCTGTAAGAAAATTACTTTGTACACTGTTCTTATTGAAACATGTGAAGTATTCGGAATGACGGCAGGAAACCACCTGACGGGTAGCACACTTTTTATTAAACCTTGACTTGTCGCGATACAACGTGTGGTCACTATTCCTCACACTACACACACTTCACTTGACACGTGTGGTCACTATTCCTCACACTACACACACTTCACTTGACACGTGTGGTCACTACCTTTGCCACTACACACTCCACTTGACACGTGTAGTTACTATGGCTCACGCTGCATGCTCACACTGCATGCTCACACTGCACTCCAGCCCCGTAACGTCCGTGGAGCCTCCAGGCCCACCCCAGCTTGGGCGTGGGTCACAACCTCTGGGTCCCGAGGGCCGGCCCTCACACGGACGTTCGGCCCCGGGTCCCAGGGTCCCGCCTCTGGGTCACACAGAGCCCCGGCCCTTACAAGGACAGCGGGACTAGGTGCCGCAGGGCCCTATCTCTTCCTCCTCCGTCTTCAGTCTTCGCTGGTCACCAACTCTCTGTGCGCCTGTGCGCACGCCCTTATATAGCCCCCGCTCTCGGGAGACGGAGCGTATGCGGACCTCGACGTGAGCATCCCCCTTAGTTGACCAATCCCCGCGCGCTTGCCCCAGGATCCCATCGCTGTCAGCGCGCGTCACCGATACCCAGCCAATCACTGCCTCATAACCCCCGACCCCGCGCTGACCCCTGATCCTTCACCGTCAGCGCGCGTCACCAACACACACAGCCAATCACTACGCGCTGGCACACGATTCCCACCCCTGCGCGTATCACCACTACACATGTACAGCATTGTAGCAGAGAACAACTGCCATGGTCATATGTAAACCAATATGGCTGGAATGTAATGGTGCAGAGGTAAAGTTGCTGGTTAAAGATGTATATGCATCACTGTTGTACAAAGAAGCTTCATTCCTCTCGTATGAATGCATTTATTTAATATCATGGAACATTATGTTAGCTTACTTATTCCAAGATCAATATGTACTTCTGGGAAATGTAAAAATGGTCCTGGCACTCGACCATTGAGGCAAAATACAAGCACGGAGGTGATTTAGCACAGAAGAGGGAATGTTCCAACCCTCCCGTTATCACCTGTCGGTCCTGGGGAGACAGCATTGACCACCGACTGCCCAACATTCGAATTATTTCCGTGAAGGGGAGGGCAGGATTCTGAGCCTTCAAATTCTTGCTTTGGGCATATAGGAACAGCGTGTACCTGTGACCGAATTTCCTGTGCACACGCGACAGTGTATCGTTAGCGAGTAGTCTACAACACAAGCACAACGCTCGCACGCATTTGTTTATCATGTCATATCGCATGACCCTTCAAAACTGTTGCAAGACCTGCTCTAATTTGGTGCAGTGCCTTGTTATACCCCGTAGTTGCTGCAGAGCTGCTCGGGAGCGTACCCTGTTGTGGGAGCGTGCAGAGTTGTGTCATCCCTGGGCGGTTTACGTTTCTTTCCCTTGGACCAACCATCCTTTTCGTTTGGTGTCGTCACCATCAAAGGGACACCTTGGTTCCATGGCTGTCCCCGACTGGGCTTCGTTGGGTGTGGGAGGTAAGGTATGTCTAAGTTTTTTGGATGATTGTTGAACCCCAAGCGTCGTCCAGGAGTAGTGGAGTGACGCGTGTGCCCTGGGCTCCTCCTTCGGCGTCATGCAGTTGGAGCAAAGCTCGGGTCTGGCTCGCGTGGGGCCCTGGGGCTGTGGGTGTCAGCTACAGCAGGCCCGGCATGTACACAGTGACTCCCTCACCGCTCCCCTGCAAACACACGAGCCTGGTCCAGGTGTAGTGGGTTCGAATTAGGTGCACACACACGCAGCTTGGAGGCAACACTATTTATTAAACGGTAAGTAATATAACACTGTACATGAGGTGGTGACCACCTTCCTCAACTCAGTAACACTCTGGAACACGACACAGACTGGACCAGGCAGGCAACGGCCTGCCTGGCCCAGGATGACGACTCGGGACTTGATGACCGATGATGTCTTCTCTTTGGAGTACAGTACAACAGCCTCGCTCTGCGTTCACACCACGCTTATATCTGCTCTGGCGTGGCTGGCTCCGCCCAGGCGTGGCTGGCTCTCTCCAGGCCACGCCTCTCTTCCCAGGCCACGCCTCCCTTCCCCCACCTCTGGGAAGGTCCGGATCCCTCCACCACGTGACCCCCCAAGCACCCCCTTGGGGCCCCCAGCACTCGTACGGGCCGACACAGTAGTGACCGTTCTATGTCACTACACAGGCACAGCACGACTCCTCCATATACCATGGCACTCTTCCATATGTAGTGTGGGTTTTTACGAGAATGGAGACGAACGGTTGGAGGCAACACATTTATTAACAATGGCAACGATACAGCAAGTAGCACACCATTAACACTTCAAGGGGTTACGGCCCCTTCACGCGCTGCCTAAGGAGGTATCGCCTCCAGGCTGACATGCCCTACTACTGGGGCCACGGTCTCTGGGTGCTCCGGCTAGGGGTGACCTAGAGCAGACTGTTCTGACCTGACCCAGCCAAGGTAAGGTCCCGACCACTGGCCCGCTCGGTCCCGGCCCTTACAAGGACAGCGAGTCAGGTGAGTCCCAGGGTCCTAGCTAGCTGGGCTTCAGTCTTCAACTGGTTCCCGAGCCGTCCAGAGGTCAGGCTTTTATACAGCTCTGGAGGCGTGCCTGCCCCCGGCCACGCCTTCCTTCCAGAGAGTTCCTAGGGGGGTCCCGGGGGATCCCAGCACACCCCGCAGCCCCCCCCCCCCCTTGTCTCGGAGCTGGGGAATCGAGCGGCCCGGCCCCTATGCCGGTCTGAGGTATTGCCCCTGGTGGAACTCGTTCGCAACTGCAGGTAAGTAGCGCGACCCATTATTATACACATCTAGCCCATTTATAGCGCTACACAGACATCATAGCGCGACTCCTCACGAGATGCAAACGTGTGCTATAAATAACGGAGGTTAAGCGATAACCAATACACCGGTAATGGTTACTAATTTCTGAAATTCGCACCCGTTAATCGATCCTAGGGGAATTTTAATCCAGATTCCACCGATTGGCACGAGCGAAAGTTTAAACCGCACGGCGGCAGGCATCATTCTCTTTCGGACAAATAAACTTGTCAAGGTGGAGCCCTGCAATTGCTTGCTCACGCCACTTTTGGTCCGTCATAGAGGGCCCGAGCGGGTACTTGGTCTACTTTTCCACACTGACCAGACGCGTTGGAGGAGTTGGATGTACCCACACTTCATCCCACCACACGTAATCTGCCGCTCGACTGTGCACACATTCACAGGATCGTGTTACTGATTCTGGGTGGAGAGAGGAGGGGGGGCCTAGGAAACTTGCTCACACTCTGCAGTGACTGCAGCTGCAGGAGCAATCGGCGACCTCTGGATGTCAAAGTCAACTTCTGCTGTTATTGCTCCACGGAAACTAACCTCGTTTTCATTTAAATAACAATATGAAAAGTGTTTTCCGTGAGAAGTTTCTACGGCATATATAAGTGCAGCAAAGCTGTGACCTTTTTGGCCCTGTGGCGAGGCTCTCCACAGCTGGTAACGGGGTGTCGCACGCAGGGGCAGGAGGGGCAGCAGGGGCAGCGGGGGCAGCAGGGGCGGCGTGGGCAGGAGGGGCAGCGGGGGCAGCAGGGGCAGCGTGGGCAGCAGGGGCAGCAGGGGCAGGAGGGGCAGGAGGGGCAGCAGGGACAGCAGGGGCGGCGTGGGCAGGAGGGGCAGCAGGGGCAGGAGGGGCGGCGTGGGCAGGAGGGGCAGCAGGGGCAGCGGGGGCAGCAGGGGCAGCGTGGGCAGCAGGGGCAGCAGGGGCAGGAGGGGCAGCAGGGGCAGCAGGGGCAGGAGGGGCGGCGTGGGCAGGAGGGGCAGCAGGGGCAGCGGGGGCAGCAGGGGCAGGAGGGGCAGCGTGGGCCCCCGACGAGCCGTCAACAAGGGCCGCGTCGCTCATGCCGGGCGCCCAGAAACCTCGTGCCTCACGCGGCAGCAGTCGCCATGGCCCATTGACGTGCCAGTGGCCCCTCCGAGGGTGGAGGGACGGGAGCAAGAAGCAAGAGAGGAAGTGAGAGTGCAGCAGCAGCAGCGGCAGCGGCTAGTGGCGGGGGGGGGTACACGGGGCGTGGTGGGGAGGGAGCAGGAGGGAAAGAGGCGGCGGCAGCAGCAGCAGCAGCGGTGAGCAGCCCCGGCCCCCAGCGATCGGTTCCGGGAGCGGCGTCAGGGGTCGGGCAACCCGCGGGCCGCTCCTCGCAGTGGCCGCTCGCTACCGAGGAGCAGCGAGCGGGAGCAGGAGGCCGCGGCTCCGTCCACCCGTCCCTCGCAGCCTCCGCAGGAGAAAAGGCGCCGCTACGAGGCCCGCGCTGTGCGACAGCGGCGTGAGGATGAAGGCGTCGCTATCGGCAGCGTCGAATAAATAGCGACCGAGAGTCCGAGGGGAGGTCCGTCCCGAACGATGGCTCGGCGCTGGGACCGGGCGGTCGAGGCCCTCTGCGGCCTGGCTCCGGCGTGGAGTGTGGCCCTGCGGGTGCCCAGCATTCTGGCCCTGGAGCGGCTCTACCGCTGGGATGGCCACGTCTCCCTGCACGAGTTGGGCCTTCCCGACGCGCCGCTCTTACTCGCCAAGTACCAGGCCGTGATCTGCAACCTCTACTACCTGGGTGTGTTGAGGGGACGTCTGGGGGGGGGCTCTCGTTCAATTCTGAGACCAGAGGGTACCTCGTGCGGACCTGGGGGCCAAGTGGGTACCTACGGGGGAACCTGCAGGGTTCCTACCGGGGACCTCTGGGGCCACGGGGGTTCAGGGGCGTTAAGTCCACGCCCCCGGACGAGCCATTGAACCCTCCTCATGCTGTGGCTTGTCTTATTAGCTAAAATATCATTCATAACACTATTATTATAATGTACACTTCTAAAGCGCCTTTTCAGCCGGGGATGACAAGGCGCTGCATGAGTGATGAGGGTGGCTGTAGTTTGAGTAGTGGGGGGGGGGGTGAGTGCAGTGAGGCACGCAAGGGGCGCTTGGGCGTGGAGCGGTCAGCGATGCGATGCCGGCGACACAAATTCAATTCCCGCTCACGGCCAACAGTGACGATTATCTGAATCGGTCCTGGGCCTCCTCTATTTCGACTCGGCCTCACATGAGTACCTGGGGCGGTGTGTAAACAACGCCACTGGGGAGACAAAGGCGGCCGGGAATGGTGCTGGCCACCCACCCCCTCGTGTGCCCTGCTGGCCTTCATATATGCTCGCTAACAGCACTTGCCCCAACAGTTTGTTCAGGCTACACGGGGGATCTTTGTTTTTGGTTTTGTGCATCGATGCGCGCAAAGGGAGCTGGGGGGCCTGACGGTGAGATACGCGGCGTAACCCCCCGGCTCGCCATTCCAGGCCACATCTTGTGCATCGTGATGCTCGGGCTGCCGCTGCAGCGCCTCGTCCGCCTCTACCTGTGCGTGCTGACTGCCGGGCTGCTCTACGCAGGACACCACATCTCCAGGTGACGTGCCCACCACCACCACCAACACCACCACCAACCACCAACACCAACCACCTGTGTGGTCACTCTCCCCGCCCCCAAAGACAATGATCCCCCGTGTAGCCTTAACATATTGTTGGGGCAAGTGCTGTTTAGCACCTATGAAGGCCAGCATGGCACACGAGGGGGTGGGTGTCTCTCCAGTGGCGATGTTTGCACATCGCACCAGGTACTCATTTGAGGCGGAGCTGACCTAGGGGAGGCTCAGAACCGATTAAGGTAATCATCACTTGTGTTGACCGTGAGCTGGAATCGAACTTGGGTCGCAGGATTCGTAGTGCACCACTACACTACCGGTCCCCCCCTGTTGTATGTGTTGGTATTATGAAATTTTGATGAAAATAATAAAAATTAATAATTTTCCGAAAAATGCGCAATTCGCATTAATTATGATAGTGTGTGTATTAATACGCATAAATTGTGATAATGCGTGTAATTATATGCATAAATTATGATAATGCGTGTGATTATATGCATAAATTATGATAATCGTAGTAATTTATGCGGAGGCTTGCGATTATGTTAATGTGTGCAGTTATGATAATTTGCTTAGTTTCGTTTATCCAGAGTTATCAATCAGGATAACACGATTATCATAGATTCATTTACCGATTATCCTAGTGTGTGTTATAATATTTTAGGTCTCCATTTTCATATCTCATCGCAGGATACAGCTCTTATGAATAAGATGGTTTTGCATGGACTTGGAAAGAACACTCAATATGCTTCTGTGATAACGATTTTATTCTAACAAGCACGCGACATTCTATCATGCAGGTCAAACATGCGTCAATAATTCATGGGCAAGATTATGCAATTAACTAAATTGAATGACTAAAAATACTTCTTCATTGGCGAAATTATGCAGTTAACGAAAATGAATGACTAAAACATTTCTTATTCATGCAACTCGACGGCAGCAACTGCTTTGCACGATCAGTTGATATTGAACGCACCACCTCGAAATGGCAACCCTTTTTGAAACGCAAAGATCACTTTTTGAAAGTCTTATTCGTGTGCGTGCTGTGTGTGCGTTGTCCTCTCGTAATATTAATTGTGTCGTTAGCTTGTGTGGTGTGGGAGGATACGAACAGCTCCTGCTGCTCCCTCGCTCGGCGTGTCGCTCGGCTTTTGCTCTCTCTCTCTCTCTCTCCACTGCTGGATTGAGCGGCGTTGGCACGATGTTCCTTGAAGAAACTTGCTTGCTTGGCGCTTGATGGTTCCGGGGGCTTGGTGCTGCTCGTGCGCTCTCTCTTTCTACTGCTAGATGACGAGTTGGCACGATGCTGTCCTTGAAGATGCTCGGTCGCTCGTGTCGCTCGGTGTCGCTCGGTGGCGCAAGGTGTCGCTCGTTGTCGCTCGATGGCGCGCGGTGGCGCACGGTGGCGCACGTTCAGCGCAAAGTGGTGCACGGTGGCGCACGGTGGCGCAAGGTGGCGCAAGTTGGCGCTCGTTCAGCGATCTCCGCCTTTCCTGCGGGTTGTTCGCTGGTCGTCACTCTGACGAGGAGCGATGCTTCGTTCGTGGCAGGGTGGACGTTGGCGTCTTTGTTGGCTTCACTCGCAGCTCTGCGACTCAGGGTAGCGATTCTTCTCAGGTGGTGCAGACCTCGGCTTGTAGCTACGCGTCGCTACTCCGCGACCCTCGTCATTCTGAATGACAGGAGCTTCTTCGTTGGCGGCGACGAGGAGAGATGGTTGTCGCCCTGGAGAACTCTGGTGGGGCCTTAGCCCGGAGACGAGATGAGATGTAGGCCGGAGCTCGTGAAGATCTGTGGTGGAGCCGAAGATGGCTCGTAGCCCGGATGATATGTGTGTTGGAGCCGAAGCCCGGACGATATCTGTGATGGGGGCCAGAGCCCCTGACGATCTCTGTGATGGGGGCCAGAGCCCCTGACGATCTCTGTGATGGGGGCCAGAGCCCCTGAAGATCTCTGTGATGGGGGCCAGAGCCCCTGAAGATCTGTGTGATGGGGGCCAGAGCCCCTGAAGATCTGTGATGGAGGCCAGAGCCCCTGTCGATCTGTGATGGAGGCCAGAGCCCCTGTCGATCTGTGATGGAGGCCAGAGCCCCTGTCGATCTGTGATGGAGGCCAGAGCCCCTGTCGATCTGTGATGGAGGCCAGAGCCCCTGTCGATCTGTGATGGAGGCCAGAGCCCCTGTCGATCTCTGTGATGGGGGCCAGAGCCCCTGACGATCTGAGTTGTATGGATTTTCCTTCGGTTTATATCGGAAACTTCCACTCGGCTTCCCGAGTTGTTCAAAGGCTGTGTCATAAAACCTTCCTGTGGGCTGAACCATCTGCGTCCGTGTGTGTGTCCGTCCGTGTGTTTCGCGTGCGTGTTTGTCCGTGTTGTGGGGAGACAAAGGCGGTTGTTTCCACGGTGGGAGCACCTGGCGCATGCGCTTATTTATTCGAAGACGTGTTAATTCCCTTTGAGCCATTGCCCCCTTTATGGGTGTCATTTCCTAGCTTGGTGCCTGTGTGTGGAGATCCTCTCGGAAAGACAAAGGCGGCCGTGTTGCTCGCTTCCCATGGGTGTTGTGTTTGGTTAATTTTGAGAGCCTTCTCCGCCCTTGATTTCTCTTCTACTTTAATTCCGTACTTATTATTTGACTTCTTGTGATTATTTGATCTGATATCCCGGCTAGGAATTTTGTTTTGGAGCGAAATCGATGCCATAATTATTCTTTGATGCTTCGGCCCGGCCGTGTAGATATTCTTTAAAGGTAAATAATGTCAGTATTTATTAACAATGATGGGTCGCGATTCTGGTTCAGATTGTCGTCTGGTTTTCAATTGGAGTGAGGATGGATACTGTTTGCTTAATCTTTATGGTTAAGTTGGTAACTTGTGTATTTAACATGGTTCAAAGACCCATCTGTGCTTTTTGTCGTCGATGCTGTTTCTTTGTTAAGAATATGATTATCTCTTCCTCCGTGTCTCCTGGTTCTGCAACCCCCCGCCTGCAATTCCCCCCTCCCTTGTTCCTCTTGTGTGAATTTAGGGGAGTTTTTTTTTATTACCTTATTGCCCCCCCTTTCATGTCCTCTCTCCTTTGAAATGAGGTATGCGCGCATCTGTGGAAGTGTGGGGGCCTCTGTGGAAGTGTGGGGGCGTGTTCGTTCCCACGTGGCCGCGTCTATTAAAAAAACGATATTATCTATGTTGGCAGAATAATTCTTAAAAAAAATAATATTTAAAAACATAAAAAGGGGGTACATACACAACAGTCCGCCCTTTTGAAAATTATCAGGGGTCGATTTGGCCACTGGCGAATTTTCAAACAAAGTAATGCCCCCTTTTTATGTCATGCATCCCATCAGCCGCCCTTACTCTCGGCGGTTATTTCTTACGACGCGCGTGCACGTATTACAATCTTAACCTGGTTACATCTGAAATAAGCAAAGAAAATAACAACATGTTAACATTGATATTGCGTTACATCGGTTCTCATACATCATAACTCCGGCGAATATTCATTTTTGTTTTTGTTAAATCCTGGTTACATTTGAATTAAGCAAAGAAAATAACACACGTTAACATCGATATTGCGTTACATCGGTTCTCATACATCATAACTCTGACGAACATTCATTTTTGTTTTTGTTAAATCCTGGGAAACGCTAGGTAGCGGTTTCGAACGCATTTATGCGTTACCTTCCTCATGTTGCCTGGTTTACCACTTATCACTTTGATAATTTGATCACGGTTTTCGGGTTCGTTTTTGTAGTTTCCTCTCTCACTCTCTCGCGTCGTGGGAGTGTGTGGTGAAAAATTGTGCTGCACGTAACCAGAATTCGCGCACACGACCCACTTTGACACTTGGTTCGTGGCATTCGCTCTCTCTGCGATTACATGCACATTTGCCGAGTCAGTGTGTCGATTTAATTCTGTCCTTCGTAATGTTGCCCTCTTTGTTTTTACGAGTGTGTTGGATTTCAACACCATTCCCGATACGTCATGGACATTCGTCTCCATTTTAGCACTCCGATCCACATAATTTTTGGTTTCCCTTGGATATTTTCCATTCAAAGGCTCACGCCTGCGCTCCTCAGGGCGTGTCTCTGTGTTCTCTCTTTGTCTCTGCTGTCTGCTATCCACCGTCCGATCACTCTTCCATTCAGCCCTGTCACTTGCAGCCTGCTCAGGGTTTAACACCTCGGCGGGTGGGGCGCGTGTTGGCCGCTCGCTCGCACTCACTGTGGATGGTTCATCACGTATTTGGACCGCATTCTGTGTTATTCCTCTATTCCCTCCTGGTATAGCCGGTGGAGGAATTGGTCGGAATTGGATCGATTGTGTTTGACCTCCCATCCTGCGATTCTCCTGAATGTTCGCATCCATACCTCCGCGGTCTGTGTAACACCTTCCCGCTAGGTGGTTATCTTCCCATCTCTGTGCGTAATTTGAACCTTGCGTGTGTCGTGGGATGGGGTGTTGATATGGTTCTGCTCTGAACCTCTCCCTCCTGCGATTCTCGTACATTTTTAGCCCAGTATTTCTCCCATTTGGGTGCCAAATTTTTCCTGGATTGTTACCTCCCCATCTTTGTGGGTAATTTTGATCTTGTGTGTGTCGTGGCATGGGGTGTTGGTATGGTTCTATTCTGAACCTCCCCCTCCTGCGATTCTCCTGAATGTTCGGCTTTGTGCCGCTCTCATTCTCGTGCCAACCTCTCTCTGGGTTATTTTGCCATGTGTGCGTGCGTTTCTGCTCCGTCTTGCATTGTGGGACTGCTCGGTGATTTTTATTCCTCTCTGAGAGGCTGGGTTCCTCATCCCTCTCCCTGTGTTCTGGATCCGAATTATGATTCTTAGCTCTGTATAGCCATGCCATGTACGCCTTGCTCTCTATGCGGCGTAAGGATGCGGTTTCTGGATTCAAAACCATTCTCACCCTTCCTGTAATCTCTGGGCTCAAGGATTCAAAAAACATAATTTTGAACATTTTATCTCCTTCGTGGTATTGATTCACATCGCCTGCGTAATACGCTCTTTTAAATTGGACGAGGTAGTCACGTGGATCCTGGTCCATGCCCTGGGTCATCGATTTTACAGCATAAAACCCCTCAGTGAGTGTCGAATATTCTCCAAACTTCCGAATCACTGCCAGGCTCAATTGTTTAAAATCATTTCTAACCTTGTGTGGTAGTGACTTTAACCATGGAATAGATTCTTTATGTAAGGTCCGTTTCAACAAACTCGCTTTTTCATCCCGTCTCCTCAGCCCTCTAATCATTGCCTCCTCTTCTACGGTTGCGATATGTGTGTGGATATCCATAGTCTTATTGTGGGG